AAACTCACCTGATGCTGTAAAACCTGTCGATCCAAGGATTCCTAATAGCTAAAAAGCAATTAACAAGCAGTTTTAGAAAAGAAAGTGTCATTCTGAAGATGCTGCTGTAGTTTGAGCAAGATGGCTGTTTCCTTGTCTCCCAGAGCTTTAAACCTCTTTGGCACACTATTCACAAGGAGCTGCTGTCTGGAATATTTGTAGATGATTTCAAGTGCTTTCTTTCTCTGGAGAGAAATGATCGAAAAGCTGGTCTACCTGCCAGACCTTCATTCCATTGCAGTCATTGGCTCCACTTTTCATCTTTTGTTGTCTGTCTGCCATTTCTTCCTTGGAAGTCCAACAGAATTATAAATGTGACAGGGTACACATTTGTTACAAAAAAAAAAAAAAGACAAAATTTAGGAAAGACTAATAATACTATTGTATCTTGGCCAGAGTTAATTGGGTGGCCTATAAATTTAATAATTTATTCATATTACTATTATTACCCATTAAAGTATTTGCTAAATGTCAAACCACAGCTTTATCTGCTCTAGCTACTCTGACCAACTTCCTCTTGAAACCTAACCACACATAACCATAGAAACTTTTTTTTATAATTACTTTCTTCCAGTGCTTGCTAAATACTTACTTAAAACATTTATTAATATTCAAGTGGGTTTAAATTCTTCCACATATCAGTCCCATAGCCATCTTCATTAATGGCTTCCTTTATTCCGTTCATCTTTATGGAAAACCATTTATTGTCAATTGGATGAACAGCTAATTATCTGCCCCTACATCTTTTTGCTGTACTCTAACTTATTACTGCATTCTTAAATCATTCATACATATCTTACCTCTTGACTTCCTCCTTAAACTTCTCCATGCTCAAATAAAACTCTAGGTATTATTTACAGAGCTGCAGAATTACTGACCCTGACTCCAGAGAGGAACTTTGCAGCCTCATCATTCCAACATCCCCACATAAATCTCCCTATTTCTTGCTCATGTTTGCCTATGCTTAAAGGAGTGACTCTAAATACCTTGAGTGATAGCTGTTTTATACAAATAAATAAGCCTTTAACAGCCTGAGGAAAATTGAGGAAGCAAGACTGTTCCTGCCATTTTGAATGTCTACCTTCAGCAGGGTTGTGGCAAAACATCCACTGAAATTAAAATTTCCTTTCCTCTATAACAGAAGGGGAAACCTCATTTTACATTCTGGAAGAGATGGAAGATGCAGCACTGAAGCAGAGTAGTTAAGGTGTGAGTCAACCAGCTAGGTCTTGTTCTTGGGTTATGTTCCTAGGTTTTAGCTCGAGAGTGAAACCACCTTAATCTATTTAAAGGCTTACATTACATTTTCATGTATTTCCTGTCTCCTGCCTTTGATTTTCTGTAATTATGACTAGAAGGAATGTAATCTTTGGAAAAATGAGATTTGGGGGCCACATGTGATCTTGAGGCTTTCAGTTGCCCATCTTTGCTTTTATAGCATGCAGCCAGCAATGGATGGACTGCCTATGGTGTCTCAGTGATCACAGTGCATCTTTGCTTTTCTTGTCTATCTTCCAGTTTCTCTCTTTGGACTGCTGGAACTCTGCTAGAGAAAGATTACTTGAAGATCTCTTGTTTCCCCTCTTTCTGGTATTACTGTTTTTTCCCAACCACCATGTCATTCTTTGGAAATGCTCCTGTTCAGTTTTGCTGGAAGAAAAGGCATACAAAAAGAATCATTCTTATATCCCCTGTTTCTTAGCATGTCTTTAGATTGCCAGGGTATGGAAGGAAGAGAGGATGAAGTTAAAGAGTGAAATCCCTAGACTAGCTACAGGAATCGGTGCCCTAGGCAAACCCATGAAATCAGTCCCTCAAAAGTACTTGTAATTTTTTTATTTGATTTTGATTTTATTCCCTAGTTGAAACTCAGGTCATATCATGGATGGACCACATCTGAATTAAAGCTTCTCTTCCTGATCCTAGTGATCCTAATTAAGAAGCCCAATCCTCTACTCCTGCAACAAGCTCATACTGGGAATGTTTTCCTATTGCTGTAGTGTAGGCAGAATTGTTAACAAAATCTTTGGAACAGGAGGATTTTCCTTCACCTTATTTTCCCCAAGGGGAAAGCAAGACTAAACCTTCCCCAAAGAATTCTGAGTATGATAGTGATGTCTGCATGAACGAAAACAGATGTGTCTGCGGAGATAAGAGAAAGTATATACAAGTTACATGTGAAGATAAGGTTATGTGAGAAATTGGAAAGAGAATTATGTTATGCTTCACCCATATGTTTGTGCAGTTCTACAAGAACCAACAAAGAAGTATAAAAAAGAAGCTCTGCTCTTTGTGTAAGAAAAACAGTGCAAAATACAGTTTAAATCTTTTTTATATATATTTAGGAAAATAAATGGAAAATAATTTTCTTCTATTAAAATCAATCTTATGTAAAGATATAATTGATCCCACATATCATTCAAATAACATGTAAACATATCATATTGTGAAACAGAAATTAATCTAAGAATTATAATGTATACTATAAGTCTTCTGTTTATATCTTCTGTTATTTGTAAACAATTGTGAGTTACTCAACTATGGTTAAAGAGCATTGAATAAACCCAACCACAGTCTGGTTTTCAAAGCAACCACTTTTTGTAACATTTTGCCTCAGAAACCAGAAAAGAGTAAAGTAGGGATATATGAATGAAAATAAAATATTTCTTAGTATAGGCATTTCCAAAATCTGGTGCACTCAATATGCAAGTGTTGTACAATTTTCCAAGTCCAACAATACATTTTTTTCTCATGTAACAAAATCAAGTAGATCTTGATTATATTGTACATCTGACAATTAAAATGTGATATTGGTATAAAAGATGGCCATTCTTATATTGCCTCTATTGCATATCTGATAATATTTTTGGATTTGCAATATAATTTTTTAAAAAATGTTTACCTAAAGAACCTAGATTTATGCATGCCAGTCTCCAATAAAGAGGAAGTACTTGGTCTCCCAACCTGATGTGAGAAAGCAGTTCCTTTCAACCTCAACCTGCATAGCCAACAGCATCTTATAGATGGACGTTTTGCTAAACAACAAACAAATATATGTAGGAAACATACCACAGTAGTAATGGGAGATTTTAACTACCCTGATACCAACTGGGAGACAAACTCTGAAGCAGGTGGGAGATCAAACAGGTTCCTAATCAACCTACCTGACAACTTTGTCATCCAAAAGGTAAAGGAGGGAACTAGATGAAAAGCTATACTGGATCTAATTCTTACTAATAGAGAAGAAGTGATACGGGGAGTTGAAGTTGCCAGAAATTTGAGCAAGAGTGACCACATCATATTGGAATTCAATATAATGCAAACACATGCAACAGAACATAATCCAGCCAGTGTCTTAAAAGTTAAAAGAGCTGGATCTTAATAAAGTTAGAGAGAGCCTAAGAAAAATTCCATGGATGAAAATCCTAAAGGGGAAAACAACTCAAGAAGCATGGGAAACTCTGAAAAATATGATTATAAAAACCCAGTCCAACACAATACCACTGTAAAAAAACAAGAAATCCAAGAAGAAACTAGCAGGTTGCACAAAGATCTCTCTGATAAACTGAAAGACAAAAAGGACAAGTACAAAAAATGGAAAGAAGGACACATAACTAAGGCAGAGTGTCAGTAAACAACCCAAATCTGCAAAGATGAAGTCAGGAAAGCAAAGGTTTAGAATGAACAAAGACTAGCAATAAAAGTCAAAGATAATTTTTAAAAAGTTTCTTTCAACATATAAACCTACACCATCTCAGACAGGTGATTGTCTAGTCTAGAGCCAGTTTGGTGTGGTTAAGGCACTGGGCTAGAAACTGGGAGACTGTAAGTTCTGATCTCAGCCAGCTGGGCAACTTTGAGCCAGACCCTCACCCTCAGCCCTAGAAAGAAGATAAGGGCAAACCACTTTGGGAATCTTGCCAAGAAAACGGCAGGGACTTGTCTAGGGCTGTGGAAAATAACTGGAAGAAGTAGAAAGTTTTAAAATAAAATGTAGATACTTTTAGCATTATCATGTAATCATTGATTTGATATTTTATAATCATTATTTTATAATCAATTGACTGAGTAGATGCTTTATGTATATTGGAAAATTACAAGCTTCAAATGAGGGGAGGGGGGAAACTGGAGTTAAAGGGTCTGGTATGAGCCATCATCTAGGAATTGTTTTTCTGTACCCTTTGGTGCCTGGTACCACCACCTGGTTTGTAAGGTGTAAGAAGATGGAAGACATCTTCTCTTCAAGATTGATGAGCGTGTACATATATGGTCTTAATAAACAAGAGAGGAGAGGAGCGATCTTATTAGTATAATGTAAGCAAACGGGTGGAGATAATGTATTCTTGTTAGGCGCTTCTGATAGATTGTAATCTCCAAAGCCTATGCCAATGGGGCCATGGGGGAGGGAATGAGGCTCGTGATAGGATGTATAATAATGTGTGATTCTGAAACATGAGTGTGGTTCAGTGTTTGGCTATATTGCATCATTAGCATTCCTGAATTCACCACGCTTTGCAAACCGTTTCCTTTTAGACTTTGTTGTTAAGGTTAATAAACTTCTTTTCTATTTGCAACTAAAACTGAGTGAATTTTAATTTGTAACTCTTATTTTGTGTCCAATAGGGCTACGCAGTCACTCGGAGTTAAAACTGACTTGAAGGCATACATACACAAAATGTTTCCATTAAGAGCCCACACATCAACGAAATGTTTCCATTGATAGTCATGTATGCCATTTCCCATCTGTTTATTATATTTTTAAGCTTCCTGACTATTTTGACATTCAAGTAAGCGCAATCAGTGAAGACTTCAACTTAACGGCTATCGCTGGGGGAGAATGTCCTAGCTGCAAAGAATACTTTTACGTTTGGCAATCTAGAACGGATCAGTTGTAATAGCCGAGGCGAAGCAACAGAATCGAACCGCTGCGTGGGTGAGGAGTGCGGGGTCAGGCTGACCGGCCACGCCTCTTTCGCGGGCCACGCCCTCTAGAGGCGGACCGCGGGAAGGGGCGCGATGGATGAAGGTGCGGTGCTCCCCAGAGAAGCGCATTCGGGAGAGGAAGATTCTGCGGATCCCTCGCGGCTCCGCCGCGGGCTCTTACTCCAGAGGAGAAAATGGAAGCGAGAGCAGCTAAACGGCAGTTTCTCTCAGCCCCTGGTGAGTCGGGCAGGGCAGGGCAGAGCGTCGTTTGCCCGCAGTAAAGATGGTGGTGTTTCCTGTTTTCGCTGTTGCGGGAGAGGATTCCCTTGATTCTAGTCGCTCGTTACTCGGCGGCTTCTGGCTGTCCTGATTCTCGTTTTGCCGTGTCTGCCGGAGCCCTCGGTCTCTCCTTCCTCGAGCCGCTTCTTTTCTCGCCGCGTTGTGCGGCGATGCCGGGGAGGCTCGCAACCCGAGCTCGGATTTCCCGACCAGCCGAGTTTGGCGAGCGGGGAAAGATCCGTCCTTCTGAAAACACGAGTGGGAAAGCGTGCGGGGATTTGGGGAGGAAACGCGCTTCTGAAGCGAAGTTGCCCGAAGTGTCACTTGAATGCTTGGTTTCCCTCTCGCCTTATAAGGCGAAGCTGCGCGTTGTAATCGGAAATCCGAGGGACTCTTCCGGACCGATTGTTTTTGCAGCTTCCTTATTCAGGGGTCCCTACGCGTTATTCCTCGGCTCTCGGGATGGGATGTTTTGGAGATGTCTCTGCACTGTGTTCTCCTTTTGAATCCCGTCTCGGCGCTTGATCATGTTGCGCTGTCCTCTTGTCCCATTTCAGCCTCGGGAGCTGGCTTCTCGCCAATACCGAAGCAGACCTTAGAGCCACTGGAAACTGCCATTCGTTTGTCCATCTCACCCAGTCCTACTGGCCACAGGACTGCGGGGTCTGAGAGACTCCTTCCCTGTCGCCTGATCCGTTTAATTTATCAGGGGTTGAAGCTCGGCTTAAAAAAAAAAAAAAACCGGTTACAATTTAAATGACAATGGCCGATAACGGTAAATTCCTTAAAATAGTCCAAGTGCTGTTGACAAGATTAAACATGGAAACTATCCGAACCTGAGCTCACCGTGTGGTTCATACAATCTAAAATTAAAAGAATTGGGATGCAGGCAAGCAGTAACTTGACCCCATTGCTTGAAACTGAAAGTTGATGACTTTCAGTTTAGAGGAAATCCGTGTGGATTTTATTTAACTATTACTATTATAGGTAATAAAAATATTGCTTTATTTCAGTCTTGCTGAAGATAGGGAGGAAAATTGGTGAAAGTCACATGACTCGCGCTGAATCTTGCTGGGTTTTTTCCCCTTGTGATGAGGAAGTTATGTGTGTTAAGTTATGATGTAATGTAACTGATTTACAATCAGGATAGCAAAAAACAATGTTAAGAAATAGAAGAAGAAATGGATGTTGATTACATGCAAATCCATGAAATGTCCATATTAAAACATATAAAAATGCTATATGCAGACATCTAGATATAACCTCACAAGATTTCCCAAGCCTATGCAAGTAGTTCTTGACCTATTACCACAATAGAGCCCAAAATTTTGTTTCTAAGCAAGGCAATTGTTAAGTAATTTATGGTGCATTTAATGACCTTTTTTGCCACAGTTGTTAAACAAATCACTGTAATTGTTAAGTGAATTGTGTGGTCATTAAGCAAATTTGGCTTCCCCCATTGACTTTGCTTGTTGGGAACCATCTGGGTTACAAACAGTGGTGACATGACCCCTGTCGTAAATACTTGCTGGTTGCTAAGAGTCCAAATGTTGATCATGTGCCCATGGGGATGCTGCAGTGGTCATAAGTGTGAAAACCAGTCATAAGTCCCTTTTTCAGTGCTGTTGTAACTTTGAACGATTGATTGTAAATAGAGGACTACCTGTATCATTTGCTGTAATAAAGAAAAGTCATCAAATGCATCACCATGAAAAACAATCTTTGCAACAGAAAATTGACACAAAATAAAAAAAATAATGGACAAAGTTGTATGTAACATGATTTAATAATACCACATTGATCAAAGTTATTAATTCTCTAATAAGATCTTGCTAAAATTGGCAGCCCTTGGAAAGCAGTGGGTGTTTAAGCTGCTCTGGAACAGGTGGAACAGGTTATTACTGAGTCTGATTGCTGAAACATGACATACCAGTATTAAAATATATTCAATTGTTTGCCACTTCACTTCCATTCAGTTCCAATTTTAGTATGCTCTACAAAATGAGTGGCTCCAGATGAAGGTCATTCTGAATGTGTATAGTTTTGGTAGTGATGCTAATTGTTTTATTTTATCTTACATTGAATAATTGTTTCTATTGATGTTGTGAATATGTTTTAAAATATTTTGAAAGTATTGTTTAAGAAAACAGGGATAGAAATAAGTATCTTTCAAATAAATAGTAACTACCGTGTTGGAATTACACATTCCAGAATTTATTAAAATTATCTGGCATAAATATAATATTACCATGCCAAAAAATGAGTGACTATAATTCCCAGGGGAAGGCCTTCATTTGCTACCTTCTTCAAACTAATGCAGCTAATATAGCATTGTGCTGTTTACTAAGCAACCTTCCTATTATGATACCCTCAAATACAGTGGTGCTTAAAAGTTTGTGAATTATTTTGAATTTTCAATATTTCTACATCAATATGATCTAAAACATCGGTTCTCCACACAAGTCCTAAAACTAGATAAAGAGAACACAATAATATATTTGTTCATTTATTTATAGAGGAAAATGAGCTCTCAACCCATTCACCCTTGATGCAGTCTTCATTTATTCTCTCTTTATGATCTTCTATCAGCTAATCACTTAGTTTTGTATTCAGGACATATCACCCATTCACACACACACACACACACACACACACACACACACACACACACGGTACACCTGAATCCAGACAAAAGGTAGAGAAGCCAATACAAATAACTGCTTCCCACTGTAATCTTTTTTTGTCTTTCTTGATGTACTAAACTCTTATTGCTGTATAACAAGGTAGAGATGCACGCATTTATGCTATCTTTGTTTCTTTCAACAGTTTCTTTTAACTGTGAACATTTGCCTATCTTGAAATTATTCTATTTATTTTTAGAATATGGCATATCATACATGGACTAGCAATATATATTAATAATTCACCTAGATTAATAAACACAATAAAATATAAATGTTAAAAAGATCTAAGTTCAAATATCAATGCCTAGGCCATCTAACCATTGAAGTGCAGCATCGTTTATATTAAAAATATCAGATACTGGACCAATATATGCCCTCAGCTTATAGCCAGTCACAGTGTGATCTACAGTTTGATGTGGGACCCTGCAGTCACATTGAGGGGAGGATACTACACCCCATTTATACAGTGAGTCCCAGCAGAGGTGTGAGGTGTGAATCTTATTTAGGATTATTTCAAAGCCTGGCATTTTTTTATGGGGTCTTTTGTATGTCTTCCTATGTCTGGGCATTCAGCAACCCATTTCACTTTTCATCGGGAATTGATGTTAAAGTTGTTGGGCAGATGTTGTGCAAGTGCCGGTGGGGGCTTCCTGGATTTGAGTCTTATGACTGATAAATGAAGGTCAGCATGCACTGGTAGGAATGAGTTGCTCATATTTTTTCTGTATTCTCTCACTAGTGCATTGTGCCTTCATAAAGCTGGCAGTGCTAAATGGCTCAGAACAGGAAGCCAGCAAATCGGAGTGGTTTTAATACATCCACTTATAATCCTCATAGTGTCATTGAGTCTGGCATCTAACTTACTAGTATGGCAGCTATTAAGCCAGGTAGGGGCACTGTATTCTGCTGCAGAGATCAGTCCTAGTGCTGATGACCTGTGGGTAGCAACTGAAACTCCCCATTTAGTTCTACATAATTTCTGGAGTACATTGTTCCTGGTATTGATTTTTGCCACTATATATATTCTCTAGGTGTATCTGGTAGGAGAGAGTCTGTTATTCCAAAGTAATTTGGATGGGGATCATAGGAGAGTAATTGTTGTTTAAGAAGACCTTCAGGGCTTCATATGCTCTTCATATGCTCGTTTGTTGTTAAGGTGGAAGCATGTATAGTAGTGGCCAAAATTGTGGAAAACTTTTGGGAAAAGTGTATTTTTGACATTTGTTGGCTAATAACACCACTTTTTTTTAGGAGTACCATAAAATTATATATCAGTGGAAAGATAATTTAATCAAGAACGTAATGCAACATAGTTTGTTCAATTATCTGTACTGTATTCTATGAAAAGTTATAGCCAAATAACAAGAAAAAGGAAGCACAACTTGCTTAGGTTGGTATCAGGTAGTTTTTCTTCATCTGACTGTAGCCAATGAGCATGAGTGTTTAGAGAGCCAATCGGGTGTCATCTTGTTTTGACAATGAGCCAATCAGAGCACAATAGGATTCAGTTATTGATATAATGTATTGAAGCTGAGAGGAGGACATTTATCACTGTGTTATGTGATCGCTATTAAGTTGGTTGGTTTTTTGTGTTTTTTTTTTCATTTAGTGAGCTTGTAAAATGTAATAAAATTAAAGTGATGGTGCAAAGAGTTGACTGGTTGCCCAGAAAGCAATGTAAAATAGTATTATTAAGTGAACAAGGCTACAGTTATAAAGAAATTAGAAGAAAAAATGGTGGAAACTTAACCAAAGGTGGTATTTTTACTGTACACTTTTCCCAAAAGGTTTCAATAATTTTGGCCACTACTGTAGTTACTATTTTGCTGGTGCTAGGAATGAGCCTCTAGTCAGTGAAGAATTTTCCCTTACTGTCTTTGGACAGTAAGCTGTCAGCCACCTCCACGTGTTTTTCTGGTACTTCTATGGTCAAATAATCAGCGTATCCAAATTTGCATCCTCTTGTCGCGCAGCATATCCGATATGTATAAGTTGAATAGTGTAGGTGACATTACAGAGCCTTGTGAGAGGCCATTGTTAGGCCGTTGTTTAACGTTCTGACTTAATTTATGTTGTTCCCCCATTATTATCTGAAAGGACCCATCACTCAGCATATTATTAATTAGTCGATAGAGATTTTTGCAGGGGATAATATGGCACAGTTTTGTATAACAACCCATCCTTCCTGTGTCATCTGTCGCAGTTAGGTCTATGAACACAGCTGTGGTTTTAAGGCCTTGTTGTAATCTTGCTTTATAGGGCCTGTTAGGCTTAGTACCTGGTCTACACAGCTCCAGTCCTGTTGGAAGCTAGCTTGTTCCATGGGCAGATGTTCATCTATTATGAGACCTATCCTACTTATAATTAATTGTTCTGGGAATTTGTAGCAGGAGCTCAAAAGGACGATTGGGTGGTAGGTTTCAACTCTGTCTTAAGGTTTGCCAGGTTTTAGAAGTGATATTATTTTAGCTTTATTGTATTCTGGTGGGAGGCAGCCATTGGAAACTATTTCTGAGAGGATTTACCAATAAGATACAACAAATTCATTTTTACTGCTCTAATTTTTGCAATTGTTCACTCTATTTTCCCTGTCAAACAGAATATTTTAGCTTTCAGTAAAATAATGTTCAGATTCATACTTCTTATTGATAGTATTTCTAACAGCACTACAAGCCTTTTTTCTGTCTGTCTATGATTGTCTACCAATCATCTATCAGATTTATATGGCCACTCATCTCATAAAAAGTGACTTTATCCATAATAAATATAATAAAACAACTAAGAAATTATCAACCGTCCTTGTCTCACTTCCTGCTCAATGTTAAACCACTGCTAAAGATGCAATTTATTCCCATCAAAATCATTGCATTCGACAACCAACCTTCAGGTCCATACTTGCACAATATATTCTATAACTTAAGCCTGTTAACTACCATGTATTTTCTCCATATCATGCAGTAAAATATCTTTTTTTTCTTTCTGATATTCATAGACGGTATTTCTCAGAGACGTACTAGAGAACAAAGATGTGGTCTACACTTTCCTTTCCTTACATATTAAAGCCACATTGCATTTCACTTCTTGAACCCTTTCAATCAGTATTCTGCCAAACACTTTCCTAGGCTCATTTAAAAGAATAATCCCTAGTAGTTTTGCATTTATATTTGTTACATTTTTTTTCTTGTGTAAGGTAATAACATTGTTCTTCCAATCATCAGGCACAGATGTAGCCATCATCCACACATTAAACAAGTTGTGCAGAATCATGTCCAGATTCTGGTGTTTATCCAGTGGCATTTCTGTATTTATATGTATATTCTATAAATATGTCCAAGTTTACCATTTTTAACATTTACAAAGTAATTATATTTCTTTTTCATCAAATATTTTCTTGGACACTAATTTTTAATAGTATTTATTTCAATTCCACTTTTTAACATATTATTTCCATATAGATTTCTAAAGTACACTTTCCAGAATGCCATTACTTCAATTTAATCTCATATAATTTCATCACTTTTATGTTTAAATCTAGTCACTCTTCACCCCCATTTAGCTCTTTTTCACTTGCTCTGCAAATATTTTTTTTTTATTTTCATCAAAATTGTTCTACATTTTCTCAGCCTTTTTCAATCTTAGCAGTTCTTTGCTTTCTTTGACAACATTCTTTACAGCTGTTTTGTCTATTGACACATTTTTCAGTATTAGCACTTGCATTATTTCCTACTAATAGTAAAGAACTTATTAGTCAGTTCTGTCTTTACATTTGGACCAAAATGACACAAGTGCAACCAAAGCCTGGTTTTATCCTTAGTATGTTCATGTTTTCTAGGCAAGCTAGGATATCTAGAGACTGCCTTACAAGCTGACATACTGTTGTTTGTATTCAAAGGTGCTTTTTCATGAGGCAATTGGACTTTCTTGTTTTTCTTTGATGACATTTTGCTTCTCGTCCAAGAAGCTTCTTCAGCTTGAAAGAAAAACAAGAAAGTTCAGTTGTCTCATAAAAAAAGCACCTTTGGGATAACTATGTCCTGGATGACAGAATCTGCATAGACACTGGATTAATATATTGGCACTCATGGGTGTTTTGCCTATTTGAAACATATTACTATAACACTGTTATTATGGGGAGGGGGGGGCTTATAATAGGAAAGCTATTTCCTTTGAGAGTTTGGAGAGTTAATATGAAAAAGAGTGAGGCAGTTGGAACATCTGAGAATTAGTAAAATAATCCTCCCCTTCCTTTCTTTTTGTGCCTATTGCAATCAGCTAAATGCTTTTAGAGCTAGCAAGGACAGGAAGGAGTGGGTGGTAAATAAAACACTGATGACCCTGAGACTTGTCTGGCTACAGTACTTGGCCTTCATTCCCAGGCAAGGTCATCACACTTGTGCTTTCTGCATCTGTCAATGGGCAGCCAGAAAATTAAGGAGGAATCAACCATTTAAGGATAACCCATTTTGTCTAGCACTCTTAATATGTGTGTTTTGCTGCTTTATAAAATGAATTGTAAGCCATGCTGCAAATGTTGGTATTAGCAAAAACGAGCTGCTACTCATTCTGTAAGACATCTCCCATTTGAATCCATCTTGTGCCCAAGTGGTAGATCAGGACCTTTTATTTTGAAAAAGGAGAAACCAGTTTACTGATTTCTTTACTCTTTAAAATGCACCCTCTATGATTTTTCATGCTTCATTTACAATTACTCTTCTTTCATTAAGCAAACACTGAGATTTGCAACAAAGTGTAGCAGTGCACGGTACTTCCAAAGGCATCCTGTTCCAGAATCCAAATTCTCCTTCTTCCTTTCCCCAATCTCTCAATTCTCAATTTTTTCCCTTGAATAGATAGCATTTTAATTAAACACGCTCAGTCTTTGTTGGCTGCTTTGCTCTTTCTTTACTTTCCCCCCCCCCTCCTGCTTCCTTCCTCCCCAAACTTTTTCATCTTAAGCAAGCCATGATATTTCTTAGGCTTACTTCTACTTGTCTCTTTCTTGTATAAGAATGATAACTGGTGTGGATATGAGTATTTTGACTACATAAGGATCCACACTCAGAGAAACAGTTAATCTTGTAAGACCATATTATATTTTATTTTTGTAATCAAAAATCTCTAGACCCTCAGTTTTTCCAGTCTCAGGTGGTGAATACAGAATTTGGCATTTGCATTTTCTATATTTCTCTGTATATTTAAAGTTTATCCAGGATTTTAAGTGTGATTTTTCTCTTCAGTAGTGTATTCTAATAATCAGAAAAGTGATTGATTTTCAAAAGTTTGAAAGACTAGGGAATGGGAAATTGGGGAAAGTAAATTAAGATCAAAGCTGTTGGGAACTCCAACTAAGAGATAAGTCAGAGTGATGGATATTTTCTTGCCCAGTCAATGAAAATTTGCAGGTCACTTTTCTGCTCCAAAGAAATTCCGTTGACCCATTAATTCTTAGGCATCTTTCAAATACCACAGGATTCTAGCAAGAGGAGTTCAAAAACCTGAAGAAGTGACAGTTTAGCAGGGCAGTCTATGCCTTTTTTTAACTTCAAAGAATCATTTTTTCCCTTCAGCCAAAGGTCAGTTCCTTTGAAGTTAAACCTAGCCTTTTCAGAGACTAACCAATATAAATTTATTCTGAAGTCCTTGAATATACTTGCAAATGTTAAGAACAAAACAAACCTGGGTGAAAAAGAAAGGGATTTTAACCTCATCAATTTGCTACTTGTCAAAGGGTATCTAGGATCTGTGTCTTTTATTGATTGCTTCATGATGCATCTATCACAAATATCAAATAAATGCAACTCTATATAAAGACATAACCCCCCCCCCTTAATAAACCCTTTTTGCTTTGTTTGAAGTAATTTGTATTTGGGAGGGAAGTGAAAAACCAACTTTGCAAGAAGTATTGAGTCTTACTCAAATTCAGGGACTAGGTTCTTTCCAGCTCCATGCAAATCAGGTGCCTGAATTTCATAGGCAATAACTATCCCCACGTGAAGCTGAAAGGCTGTGCTTAGGCAGCAGTGTCCTCAATACCTGGGCTGAAGCAATAGTATTACTTCTGCTGATGTGTTAAGCTTCTCAGCATCCCTGATAACAGGGATCTCCAAACTTGGCAACTTTAAGACTTGTGGACTTCAACTCCCAGAGTTCCAAAGACCACAAATCTTAAAGTTGCCAAGTTTGGAGACCTCTTCGGTATAAGAAGGAATTATTGTGGTTTTGAGTTCCTGTTTGCCAGTCTGTGTAATGCTCCGATAAATTAATAGGAGGGGAAGCAGCTGGCCAGAAATTAATATATAAGGGTTTTCTTTATTTTCCAAATTTCCTGGACAGTACTTGTTGCTGCATCTAATCTGGCTCAAAGTCAACAAGAGTCTCGGTGTTCAAGTGAAGACTTGAAACTATATATGCTTCTTTGGATCCAGTCCAGCATTTTAACTACCTTAAATTATCTCCTCTCCCCTGTCTCTCTTTGTAGGATATTATTGATCTCACTGGAGAAGACATAGTTGTGAGAACAACAGCATGCAATGACTTGGAGATCATTGATCTTACAAAACCTGAGGAGGTCATGATCAACTCCCTCCAGAACCATAGCTGCTTTGCCTGGGACCTGAAGCCGTCAACTTCAGTCTGCCCTGAGCCCATCTGCTCTCATAATGTTCTCTCTCTTGTTGATGCTGAGAACAAATGTACTGTGCCAGTGGCCATGTGGGTTCAGGACCGTGAGCGATCTTCCCCCAAAGTAGGTGTAGGAAAACCAGACTACCTTCCAAGTAACAGCTTCATCTGCCATTCCAACTATAGTGAGGAATCTGAAGGCAGCAGTCACACCACTTACAACAGTGATTTGGGCTCTTTGGAAAGCCCTCAGCTGGAATCTGATGTTTTCTCTTTCTCATCAGGTAATGATGGTACTGAACATCCAATGCTCTTGGACTGTGTAGAACCTCCCCAGGCTTGCTCATCTGAAAAAAAACCCAACTTACGGTTCTATCCCCTGCCTCAAAGACTATCCCCAAGTCTCCGCTACTCTTCTTTGAACACTGCCAGATCTGTAGCTGAAGGTGATCAGCTTTTGCACCAGGCAAAAAAACCACGGCATGCCATGGAATCGAATGTTCAGGAACAATCCAAGCGGACTGATATCAAGGTCTGGCTGAAAACACTACAGTATTGCCATGGAATCCCTGTACATCACCCCCTTCTTCAAAATGTGGTGGAAAAGGAGTCACGAAAGGTAATTTGCAGGAGGTAACCATATCCCAAGCAGGACTTTGAAGTCCACCTCAATCTGGACTTTAAGAGTTTTAAGACTCAGAATAGCAGTGAGATACACTGGCTCCACAACTCAAACTTGTTTGCTTTAGATTGCATAGTTTGTTTGCAGAAAGCTATAAGGTTGTCCAGCTCAAGTGAGTTGATAGGATTACATTTTCTATCAAATAAAAGAAAATATGAGAAAAGTCATATTTTTTCGTTAAAAAGTCGGTGCCACTTTAAGTAGATGCTGACATGGTGGGAAACATAGCCATTTTGGAAGGCAAGTTGTTTTTGTTATAAATATTCTTGGGTCTAAATACAGTAGGTGATTTTATGTACACACAGAACTGTTCTACTGAATTTGCAGGTCCTAAGATTTAGCCTTTCTTTCTATCCAAAGCCAATGGTAGCATCAAAGCTGTTTGCACAGCTAAAGATCTTTCTTCCAGGTGCATTACATTTATCCCATTATTAAGGCATAAGCTTTATAATCCAAAAACAGTAGAATAATGTTTTGCCCTATGATAGAGATGGAATGGAATAGATCAAACTGAGACTTTCAGCCATCATCCCCCAGACATTTGGGCATTATGTTACAATCCCACAGTTCGAGGCTTTATTAATAAAAATTATGAACATTAAAATCTCTTCTCCAAAATGTAGCTTATAAAAGCAGAGTTCCTGTCTGATCTCATTCAGATATCATCTAAGCCAAAATGTTTATTTACTTGGCTTTGGCTCAGTATGTTATGGAAATTCAGCCAACTGTACTAGTCCAGTAAATTACAAGGAAATAATTTACGGGTTTGCACAATGTGCAAATCTATCAAATCTCAACTATCAGGTGATGCCTTATTACATTCTGGTTTAACTGTTTGGTTATAAAAACTTAACAATCTCATCTCCCCTAAGAGCACAAAGTTCACATTAAAGTACAGATAGCAACATGTTCTAATAAATGTCATCCTAGCAATGTATGTTTCTTCCTAAATCATCTTCCTTAATCACCACATTAAAGAGGACAAGGCTGAGACCAAGCAGGTTGTAATAGCCAACATCAATTGAAGCTTGAGCCCAATAAGGCTACATGCATGTTCAATCTAATGCACTCAGCATGATAAACCAGAATTGAGATCTCTAATGTGGGTCCTGTGAGCACCTCCTTTAGTGCTTGTCAGAACACTATACCACTCCACTCATTAATTTCATAAAGACTGTTAAAAAAGTAAGTACCAGCCTGTATTTAAGAGTCCTTGGAGTCCATATAGATCTCTTAAAAAATAAAAATGGTGAATGGTTGCAATCCACAGCTTTGTTGATAAATATATCTAGTGCCCTGAAAAAGATCAGATGAAAGTGATGAGTATCCTAGAGACAGCAGCATCTCCACAAGCTACCATGATATTAAAATAATACATGTGAGATAACATAATTATGCAAATAGCATTATGCAATGACATCATGAGTTTTAAAGAAAAGTACAAGAGTCATGTCATTTGTTGGTGATACCATCATGCAGGTATAGTCATTTCTTCTCCATCCCTACCCTTCAGCTATACATACCTATAGGGTGCATCAGAGAGTCATATCACCAGCCAGCCAATGGATATTGTATGTTATAGCAACCTTTTGAAAATCGACAATTTCCCCCTCCATGTGTGAGTATGTGGGGGTGAACCTATGATATGTGTTTGCTGCTCCAAAGGAGGTTAGGGATCACTGAACCACAGCACACATTTTCTAATCTTCTCTTTTATTGTAAAGAAGTCCTTAATATCACAGAACTTTCAGTTTCGTGAAGAGGTTCAGTGTAGGAGCAAATACATAAGTCTTGCAAACTTTGAATTAGAACGTTTTTCATTTTCAATTAAAACTGAAAGAAATATTCTAACCAATGTCTATAATTTTGTGTGTAATAATCAAAATTATTTTTAAAAATGTGCAAACTTAACAATAAAATTATCTGAAGTTTTTCACCCCATGTAATTACTACCAGATACCGTATGCATGTTGATCTTCCTTTATGCACAGGATAAAAGACTAAAAGCCCAACCTATTCCATTCCGGAGATTAAACATGGTGTCCAGCACAATTGAAGAGAATTTTTTCCAGGGACCCTTGGATTTCCTTATGGACTATGTATCTTGTAAATACTACCCACCAAAAGAAGTCACAACCTATGTGGTCAGGCAGATTTTGCTGAGCTCAGAGCATCAAGAGGGGCAACAGGAGATACAGAAGGATGCTTATATGTTGTTGATGAAAATCCAGGCGTAAGTGTTCTCCCACTCCAGTTATTTGATAGGATTTAGTATCAGGCCATTATACTTTCTTAGCTTTGTGGTTGTGGTATCAGTTAAGATCATAACTGATAAGGCAAAGCTTCGTTCTCATGGCCTAGGTTTTCTTTGTGATATTATTTCTAAATGTCATAAGTGCCACGGCTCTGAATGATTAGGTGTCCCTGCCCTAAACTGAAGGGATGTGAGCATCAATCTTGCTTTATTTCATTTTGTTTTTTAACAAATACAACCCATAAGGAAACAACAGATTAGTTTTAATTTGAAATGTACTACATCTAAACTGTTTAGCAGAAAGTTTTGACAAATATGTGATGATATAAAAAGCTTAATTCTAATTTTTAGACTTCATCCAGCAACAGCTGATACAGTGGTGTGGGACTGGCAACTGCTAAGTGAGGTCATGGAAGTGCAGGTATGTTGATGAGCCCCCTTTAGATGAGAAGAAAAGCTCAGAAACTGAGCTTTATAAAAAATCCTTAATGTGTAAAAGCAAACAGTTTGAATCAAGCCAATAAAAGCAAACAGTTTGAATTAGACCAGTCTGCTTTGAAGGTACAGCAGAAAAAGCCACTGAGGTATTATTAGTAAACCAGAGTTTATTAAGCAATCTATCTCGGAACCACATGACTGTTCTGAAGGAAGAGCTGAAATGAATTAACCCTATTTTATGTGGTTTTGATGCAGCAAAATACTCTGCTTCTCATATCTTGGGCATCTCTACATGTCCCTTGTATTCAGTCTGAAAACCCTAATTGTTCTTAAAAGCTATCTCTGCACAGTGTAGCCTCCCTGTCATCCTCAGCTCACAGTCCAGCCATCCAACCAAGTTTTCCTGAACCAAAGCTGAATTATACTTTTCACCATCTCTCAATGTCTCATGCACTCCCAGATTCCACTTATGTCTAGTTATTCATGGACTCACAAAGTTTTGGGGCACATGGATCTTGTAAGCCCCACTTGCTTTCCAAACAGATGCAGCTAAAGCAGACAGGAGACCAGCCCCAGTTAAACTGGCACCTAAAAAAGGGGTGGGATTTGCCCCACAGCTCTTGGTCATTTTCAACTGGTGGACATGTCAGCAGGCATGCCAGCAGGTCTCGCACTAGCTAAATAAAGGCTAAATCTCCTGATTCAGCCTTATTCCCCTACTGGCCTGCAGCACTCTGGGCTGGGGAATCTGCAAAATTGCTTTTCTGTCATGACCTCCATTTTGTGACTCTCCTTGGAAGAAAAAAAATCCCCAAAATTGATTGCCTGCCTGAAGTTGGTTTAATTGGGGCACTTCTGGAGAGCTTTTAGTTTAGTTTAAATGTGGGATGACACCAATCATGTGACTGTTCTGAGATGGGATTCTGTTTTTTTAGAATGCCTTAAATAGCTAAATCTTGAATTCTAAGAATAAAGGAGTTGGATGCTAGATCATCACAAGATTAACAAATGTAATTAATAATTTAATCTTTCTGTCCAGGAAATTTCCTGTTTTTACTGTTCACTTTCCCTGTTGAAAGAGCAGAAACTGTATGGATCACATGCAACTAGCAGAATCCTCTATCACCACCAAGCAGTGTGTGTAGTAAACATCACATTTTGCAGTCCAGTCCATCTGTGAATCAGGCCCTCGTTTTTGTTTTTGTACTGGCTACATGCATAACATCCACAAGTATCAACAGGTCATTTTTAAAACCCTGGTTGGGTTGATCCCCATGTTCAACTTTAATTATGAGTTAACAAAACAAGTTGCTTCACTCACATAAAACTCTATACGCAAACAAACAATATTATGGATTGACAGCCTGCTTTGTATAAAATGCTAAAACCACAAATTCTATCACAAATGAATCAATCAGGACATATGGTACAAAGCCAATTATTGAGATATGCCTTATTTCTACTGCTTCCTGTTACAATACCAGTTTTTCACCTCAGTTGTCCATTATGTTGGTAACCAGTTTACTTGGATGGGACTTCCATTACGTGGGAAGATCAGTTGCTTCGTAGTGGTACAATACTGCAATTCATTATTCTGTCTTTCAAATTGTTTGACATCCATAGGAAGAGATGATTTCTGGCCGAATCCTCTTCTTGCAGTATGTGATACAGACCTTAGAAGATGACTTCCAAAAGATGATCAGGACTGGTGTTCTGCACAGATCCATTGCCAAGGCAGTGCTTTCCTGTGACAAGTGCTTCGGAAATGTCAAGTAATTTGCATTTTCATTCACTGAGCAGAATTCTGGGGCTTTGGGAAAAATCTCTTGTTTCCAAATATTCTCTATTGCTTGAATGTATTGCAACAGCAAACTTGCCCAAGCTTTAGCTAAAGTAATGGGGCTGGAAGGTGGAGGAATGAAGCAAATGGCTGGTAGGGCACTTCATCCTCTCTCTTTATGGCTTCTTCTGCTTCTCTTTTTCTTGTTATATTCATAGCAGCCTGCCAAATAAGAGACAGACTGCTCTTTTCCAAGGTCTGATTTGCTTGCGTGCAAAAGGCTATGGAATTTAGGATGAGGGCTGCAAGTTCCTTACTGCCCACCTTAGAACCTTATAAAATATTGTGAAATATTGGACAAAAACTCAACTACATGCGTGAATGGGACTTCCAGGGAAGAAATGACAAAGACAACTGTGGCAGAGTGAAGAGCCAGTGTGTAGACCAACTGCTCATAATTCCACTCTAGATAAGGAGAGGACTTGAGATCACCCACAAGTGCTTCAGACAGTTGCTTCTCATGCAGGGATTGCAAACTCTAAACCTGGTGGGTTTAGAGCTTGGGGAGATGAGGGTAATCACTTCTGGAAACTGCTTGATAACTTCAGCTTTTACAGTGCCAGCTGAATTTCCTTGAAACCTTAGCAAAAAAAAAAGTTTTAAATAATCATTTTAAGGACATTCTAAAATGTTTCCAAAACAAACAGAAAAAGAGTGGTTAAAACTATGATTTTAGAAATCAGATTTTAGATTTTACAGATAAGAGTCCAGATAACTTTAAAATAAGATTTTGGAATTAATTATAAAGAATATTTCCTGTAAGAAAATGCTTTTGTTTTAGATTCTTTTAAAAAAACAAGAATTTAAAATTTGGACACTAGATGAAATTAAAGGAACGAAAAATTATAATTGAAAGAAAACACTCAATCATGACAACACAGAACAAAGCAAAATACTTGAACATTGGACATAGTGAAGGATATTTTTGAACAACTGATCCAAACGTTAATTTTAATTGTGTCTATTTCTATAGACGGACTTTGTTTAAAAGATGACATGGAAAAGGAACAAGTTCCACCAAACAAAATTGATTTGAAAGTAGATTTAAAATGTCAGGTTACAAGAATGACATGAAAAAAGATGCCACACTGATGTCTTAATAATTAAAAGGGTTATACCGATAATAAACCAAGAGAATGAACTGGATAATTTTCCTATATTGGATTTATAAAAGAGGCCTGTTTAAGCTTTGAAGAATTTAGTGAAATGGGACAAAGAAAACGTGAAAAGAAATCAAGTTCTAGGACATTATTTGAAGGGACTAAAGATCAAGATCTTTAGAAGTAAGAAAGAAATATAAAGTTAGTCTATTTGATCAAGGTTAAAATAGATGTTTAATCCTTACTGGACTTTTGCTGACAACAGGACTAAAATGACAAGGTTTTATGGATTTGTTTATAGATAAGAGATGGAATATGGAAAGAAGAGCTAATTTGTTGTTTTTTAAGAAGTGATTAGTTATTAAAATTATTTATATTTGTAGGGGGGAAATCACTTTTCATTTACTTTACTATATTCTTATTTTTTTCTTCCTTTTCTATTTTTTCTGCATCCTTATTTTTATTTTTAAATTTTGTATTAGTTTTTATTTTTGTGAATTGTAATCTTTAATGTAATTACTATTTTAAAAATGTACGAGCAATATAATAATATCTGAGACTATATGTTACATGTGTGCATCTCTAATTCCTATTTCTGTTCAGGGAAGTGATTGAATGGCTAATAGCTGTGGTCACTGGGGCCAGAATTTCTCAGCACAAAAAATGCCTGCAAGAAATCAAAAATGTATCAATAGGCAAATCCAAAGGTCAGAGCTGTAACTCCACTCCAGAAGTGTCCTTAAATGAGACCATGCAGAAAGAGGAAACCTCCATACAATTTCAGATTCAAAAGTAAGCAGATTCAAAAATTTGCTTTTTTTGAAGTTCACAGTATAGTGTTTTTCTCTTTGAAGTTCCTAATCTTAAATGAAACAGTATCTGTTGTTTTATAAATCTTTCCAAACTTGCCCTAAACATACTCAGAAAGTTTTAATTGTATGGAATGCACTTGGTTGACTGACTTAAAATAGTTCTCTATGTCTATCTATCTATCTATCTATCTATCTATCTATCTATCTATCTATCTATCTATCTAATCCTTCTTATCTATCTATCTCTATCATCTATCTCTACCCATCTCACAAATGTTACTCTGGGTGGCTCACAATAATTAAAAACAATCGAAACAACAAAACATAAACACAGTGGCATATAACTATTCTAAAAACCTTGTTTAAAAATAATAAAACATTAATGGTTGAGGAATATAAATCATATGTCCATTTAATATAGCGATTGCCGGGGCTCACCACTACTGCTGGATCTCCAGGCATGATGGCACAGCTAAGTCATCAGGCCCTTCTCTTCCTAGGTCTCATCAAATGATATTTCCTGGTAGACAAGACCTGTAACATGCCTTCCTTGATGGATCTGATGGGATGGTAGATGTAATCAGGGCAAGGCGGTCCCTCAAATTTCCCTGTTTCATTCCACGTAGGGTTTTATAGGTCATTACCCAGCATCTTGAATTGTACCTGGAAACCAATGAAGCACATGGAGCAAAGATGTGACAAGTGCTGTTCAAGTGTGCGCAGAACTGCCTGTATATTTGCCACCAGCTACAGCTTCCAAAAGCACAAGGACAGCCCCAAGTATAGCATGTTACAGCAATCCATATGCTGTATATACTGTATGTACTACTGTGGCAATTAAGAGTGTCCTTTATCAATATTTTGGAGAAGTGAACAGCATAAACCTTTCATCTGGTTTCAGCCAGTGCCAAGAGAAAAGATCCATAGTCCTGTTATGAGAGTGATGCAAAATATAACAGAAGTATTAGTAGACTGCTGTTCATCTCAAGAGCAAATTGTCTGGCTCTTCTTTCATTTGTTCACTATCTCAAGGCTGCATGAGTTTCATTAAATTGCAGATTCTAAATGGTATTATTCTACAGTAATTTAAAAGCCAAGTATGTGTTCTGTGTCTTCTGAAATGACTATGATCTGAAAGTTGTGATGATTGTCTTAGCCCAGTGGTGGCGAGCCTATGGCACGGGTGCCAGAGGTGGCACTCAGAGCCCTGTCTGTGGGCACACGCGCCGTCACTCCAGTCCTAGGCCTTCAGCTGGGTTTTATAAAACCTTTTTGCTTTAGGCCTCCGCCGCCGTGTACAAAAAAAAAAGGTTCAATCAATTTCAACTTCTCGCAGAAAAAAAAAGATCTTGCAAAGTTGGAATTGATTGATTGAACTTTTTAGTCCCACCCAATCTGTTACCACAACCACGCCCACCCAGTGGGCCACACCCACCCAGTGGGCCATACCCATCCGGCACCCAACGATGCATAAGTGGGTTTTGGGTTGCAGTTTGGGCACTCGGTCTCTAAAAGGTTCGCCATCACTGTCTTAGCCAATGGTTTCATACTTCCACTAAATGGTGAAGGTCAGTTTAATAACATTTTGTTTCTCTGGTTTAGGGAAGTGGCACTTCTACAAAGGATGCTTTCAATAGCAGTTGAAGTGGACAAATCTCCAAATTGCAATGCCAATAAAATTGCAGATATGGTTTTTTCTTCTCTGTTGAATATACCCAAGCGGGGCCAAAGGTAAGAGATAAGTAAACTATTGAATTCACTCTTCCTCAGAACTGACTTTTTCTGTGTTGATTGCACAACTCTGTATTAGAGTTGTTCTCATTATATTCCTAGCTCAGTCAGGCATTTCTGAGCAAAGAGCAAGTGTTAAATCTATGCTTTTTCTAAAAGTTGAAAATTAAAGATCAAGCAGATAAGCTGAGGATGTAATCTACCCCAACCTTGACTGAACATTTCCGAGGTATCACAAAGTAAACATCTGCAGCAGAATAACATGTTTTAAATTTTATGCCTGCTATAGTTGAAGTTTGTAAGAGACAGTGTTCAAACCTTTTAGGCCAGCTTCAATGGTCATTGAAAGAGCTTGAAATTTTCTTTGGTTCAGGGAATTGAGACCATCTGTGCTGCTGTTTTATCTTTGTCTGAACAACTTTCATTTCATCCAGTGATGCAGACTCTGAGAAGACACTTTCATTGAATGTCTTTGTTTCATTATGTTGTGCCTTTGGTTTAGACATGGCCCTCTTTAAAATTACTGCTCCCAAACCAGTGCGGAACATAAAACTTCACTTTTTGCAATGTATCAATTTACAGGGACATGTTCCTGAGCACCATGGATTGTCACCTTCTACGATGCAAAGTGCTGGAGCTTATTTTCCAACATAGCTGCTCTATACCAACCAAACAGCCTTTGTCTTTGACAAAAATATTGTATTTTCTGAACCATGTTTCCCTGCTGCTAACGTATCAGGTAATTCAGTGCTTGCTTCCTTCGTTTGTATTAACAGAACTGAAACCTGGAACATTGCATGCATTCCTACAGTGTTTATGCATTGTTTTAATCTGTTGTTATTCAAAGTTCTTTAAAGTATAGTATTTCAAAGCCCTTTTAAAATATCAGTATGCAGCATTTGTAAAATTCTGAATAAAAATCCTGTTCACAGGACAGTGAAAAATTGTGGCAGAGATGGGATGAGATGCTTCATCAACTGAATTTATTGTTGCTGAGTTACCGTACTATAGTTCTAGGTAAGCAGCTTGCTCATAAACTTCTCTGTATGTATATCTGTCTGATTAGGAGTCAGTACTATTAGCTGTGAAACAACGTATTAGGACATCTTGCACGACTTTGCAGGAATACTCAAAATACTCTAAGCTGAAATAGCTATTTCAGGTATTACAAGCTTGGAAGAAAACATGCCATACTCAAAATGTCATCCCTAGTTTTGGATAAAACTAAAGTGTTTCATTTCAGGCAGCTTTGAGTTCCAATGTTTTGTAATTCACTTATTTCTGTCTGTTCATAATTTTTCCCAACCATGGAGTTTAGGAGTGGCATAAGCCAATAATGTCAGCACATTTTTTTTATCTGCTACCATTGGTTGGAGTTAATCTAATCTAATGTAAGCTAATCTATCGTATCCATCATCTATCTGTCTGTCTGTCTGTCTCTACCTCTAGCTACTTATCTACCTACAGTACCTACATGGTAGTCCATCTCAAATCAATGACCCCAGATAACGAATAATCATAAAATCATTTTAAACCAATTAAAAACATAATGCAAAAATAAATAGAAATCAAGAAAATTATAATATGCACATATAAAGATAAAACAGGCCCCTTCACACACTCAGGCCCCCAGACCAGGACACATAACCAGTTCTTCAAGGGCCAACAGAGTCGGGGCCACCCTAATGTATAAAGGGAGAGTGTTCCAGAGGGCAAGTGCTATGGCAGAAAAGTATTCCTTGTAGGCCCCACCAGCAGACATTTCTTGACTGATGAGGGTCGGAGCATGACCATCCGGGCTGTATTGGACAGGTAGAAACACTGGAAGATGGTCCCTTGGGTAACCTGTAAACCATTGCAGTTCACAAAGTAGTGATCTTGCCTGTGTTGTTTTGTTGTTCAGTTGCCAAATCGTGTCAGACTTTTGCGACTCCGTGGACCACAGCACACCAGGCCCACCTGCCCTCTACTGTCTCCCAATGTCCACCATACTCATATTCATTGCAGTGATGACACTATCTAACCATCTCATACTCCACTGTCCCCTTCTTCTTTTGCTTTCAATCTTTCCCAACATCAGGGACTTATCCAATGATGCGTCAAATAGTTGATACCATTTACTACCTGTACAATTACATGCTGCACCAGTTGAAGCTTCTGAAGGCTCTTTATGAAGAGTGCATTGCAGCAATCTAGACGACAGATCACGAGGGCATGAGTGACAGTAAGCAGAACCCTGAGGTTCAGGAATGAGCAGCTAGTGCCTAAACCAAAAGTGTGCAAAGGCCCGCTTAGCCATGGCTGTCACTTTATCCACTGAAGATTTCTCACTGTGACCTGAACAGAGCACTGAATGACTATCTGTAGATGTAATAAGAGCAGAGAACTGATTACTTTTTGCCAACCTTAAGGCCACAAGATAGCTGCTCTAGTTCATGCTCAATCATCTCGCTCTTCATTTGCAGCAGTACTCTAGGCATCTCTTTGCCCTCTTCACTTTTCTTAGTTCATCCATAAATCCATGGAGAATTCTGATATTCATAGGTGTAGAGCTGCCACTTGGGTGTAATCTAGACCACAGCCACAGTTCTCTCATTCCAGCAGCAAGCAAGGCTTCGGCTGGACCATGTAGCAGATCTTCCAGAACCCCAAACTCCCTCTGGAACCCAGTCAGGTCTATCAGTCATTTGGGGTGGGCCAGTCTAATTGGTGCAGCCTCCCTGCTGAGTGGAGTGGTGCCAGTCAACTGGACATTCATCAGGGAGTGATCTGACCATGATGGGAGAAATTAGGTCAAGAGTAGATTAAATATATGTTGGAGATTAAAAACTATTCAGGACAAAAATGACTTGCTTGGTAGGTTTGTTTCAGTTTTAAAAGTATTTACTTTTGGGAAGTTCAAAGGTATCTATTTGTTCCATATTTCTCTTTAAAGGCAGCAAGCCAACTGCAAAAGTAAACAATCCATTGCATACTTTTCTTTGCAATTGAGCTGGAGTCTGCCAAAGACAAAAGCTGTTAAATCTTGCAGCAACACTAAAGGATTGTGCATTATATACAAGCATGTGTTTTTGGAAGAAGCCTCAACCCAGTAATCCTTTCACAGTTATATTATTTTTACTGATGAATTTACTGCTGGTATTTGACTGCTATTTAGGCAGACACTGACTGCAAAGAGCAACTGTTGCTTTTGATTATTGCAATTTTAAAACAATGTTTTAAAAAATTAAATTATTCCACTGGCCAAGCAAGCAATAATTTTGAGTTGTCATTGCTTCTATGAATTCAGTGTTTCAAGTGGAGTTTTGGACCAAACTCAGTATAATACTATTTTTATGTGTGCAACCTTACATCACTTGTTAATACAAAAAAGGAACAGTTATGTAGGGGAAAATATTTTTGTTTAATTCACACAATTACAGCTGGAAGCCTATCTCTGATGAGATGCAATTCTCAAAATTGCTGTATTTTAGCTTTTTTTTTGAACTTATTTTTTTTCACACATTGATTTCAGTTAACATGGGATAAAATAGAGATTTTCCTGTTATAGCTACAAGGCAATTATAGCCTAAAATATCAATCTGATGGTAAAACAAACTATAACAAACTTTCAACAATTGCTTCTACCCTTTTTTATAGAGCATTTAAGAAACTCAGTGTATGAACGTATTAATTTAATTATCAAAGCTGCTAAACCCAAACTACAGTCAAATGATTATATTGAAAGAAGTGATATAAAGCACAGCATTCACAGCATCCAGAAAAAGCTCCGCCAAATTCTGGGACAGCCAATTCCCTCCCCCATCCAAGAAAAGATTGAACTACTCAAGGTATTGCTTTTCACTGCTATGGATATCTAACCCATGAAGGATTGTTGGATGCTGACAGATGGACCTCTCCAAGTGTAATGTGTTCTTTTAAAAAAATTACAAACTAAGTCTTTTTTCTTTGATTGCAATAAATTGCACTGTATTATCAGTCACTGGATAAGTCAAGAATTTGTCAAGTTTATTCTAAATTTCTGTTAATACCAGTTTGTCTAGTTTTGTTTCTATTTATGTTTTATACACCTTTTATAATAAATTTTACTAGCTGAAAAGTGGAATGAGTTTGGTCTTTTTTTTTTTTTAAAGATTACAGGTCATTGGAGATTAGCTAGCTATACAGATGTTTGTATAGCTAGCTTGTACAGATGTCAATCCACTGAGAATGAGTCACGTTCCCAGATAAATCTTAGTAGTAGATAATACATGCAGGGCTGAGAGGTTTTACTATTACAGTTAATTCTCAAGTTAATGATAGTATTTGGGACCAGCATTTCTGTCGCCAAGCAATGTGCTCATAAAGTGTTATGTCACATGACTGCATTGCTTAGCGACAGCAACAGCAGAACTGCCCATTGCCATCATTAAGCGAGGATCACGGGTCATTAAGCAAGTTCCAGGCAGTTGTAAGCAGGCCAGTAGACAGATAAAGAGGCTGTTCCCAGGCAGGGGAGGGTGTGCAGGTGGCCTGTGAATGTTGCACAGCTAGGGATGGCTGCTCTGGATGGGAGATGAAGGGAGTGAGTTACTGGAACAACTTATGGCCTTCCCTGTTGGCTTCCCCATTGACTTTTCTTGTGGAAGTGAATATCACTTGCCCAAATCACAAGAATTGTGGATGCTAGGATGGCCAGAACCTTGAGGACCAGTCATAAGTACACTCAATTCAGTGCCATCACATCTTTGAACAATTACTAAAGAAGTCATTAAATAAGGAGTATTTGTACACTGTGCAATAACAGCCATACCTCCAGATTAATTCATGTTTGTTTATTCTGCAAAAGTATTAGGCATAGAGACATGAGCACAAAATACTACCAAATAAATTAAACATTAACCAAGAAGCAAGATCACAGTCTCCCGGGTACAAATGATGAGCTGACACAGCACTATCAAAGCAATACAGGTCCAAGTTCCAGCTGTTGTGAAGAAAAATGGATTGTTAAGTCACTTAAATATAGCAGATATAGGAATTTGGATTTAATAAGATATAAGACCAATTTAGGACATAAGAAGGGTTCACGAAATTCACAAATCTGGTGTTCAAGAAAAAAAGGTTTTATTGTAATGTAATGCTTCTAAGTTTCCATTCCCCTGCTGTAAAGTAATGCCATTTAGTTGACATGTAACATTAGATTAAAAAAAACAGAAATAATATATTCTCATTTGCCTTAAAGCATATAGTAAATATTTTTTCTTTCAGTGAATGATTCTAAAATATAAATCTGTAAAAATAGACATTTACTCAAACATTAATTGTAACATTTATAAACTGAACAGCTGAATTAAAAATCTTCTCATGTTCTATTAAGTAATTTTATTTTGGATTCCTTTGCCTCCCAAGGAAGCATGTATAGGAATGTCTGTTATAGTTTCAGTGATATTTTATTTCACATTCTTCTCACAGAATCCATGGTTACAATTGCAAGGGATCTCAATTCTGGAATCCCTTTATTAAAAATAGAATCTGATTATTTTAGGAATGAAGGAATTTGCCTACATTGCACTTCAGGCTGAATCATTTGATTCTAACAACAACAAAATGCACCACAAACAATATTGTATTCCATGCCACAGTTCTAGAAGGGGAACTTAATTCTTAAATTTCTTTACACATGGAACTTTTATGTATGAAAACAGCGAGAGTCTGCATTTGAAGAATAATTCTTCCAGAACACCTTAGCAAAACATTTTTTTCCTTTTTTCCTAGATTCCATTCAAGTTAAAAAAAACACATTTAGCTGTTAAAAAATAATACATTGTCTATTGATAATCTGACCTGAATAGCAGCACCAAATCTAGTAGTGGGAGCACAACTATTCAAAACAGGTTTAACTATTTTATAGCTTTCCTTTTTAAAGTTTAGCTATGTAAAGCAGCACACAATTTGTTATCTGAATTTCAGTGGTAGATCACTTTGATTTATAGTGTGTACCCAGAGAGCCATTTGAGAGGGAAAAGGCAATAAATTAAGAAAGCTGCCCAGAATTCATTTCATCCCATTTATAATTCTGAACTAGAAGGCATAGAATCACCTTTTTTTAATCAGGGATTTATGAGTAGAATAGAGTCTACTTAAAGATGAGATAAGATAGCAAGATGACAAGAACATACTTGCGCCACTTAAGTAGAAATACTCCTAAAAGCCAGAGGGAGCAAGCACATTCAAGTCCCGGGGTTTAATATTGTGAGAATGTGAAGACGGCCTCTTTTCTTCGATAGTTGGAATATCCATCTTGGGAGGCTTGAAATTTGCAGAGTCATCTGACATCCTGGTGGCCTGTATACGCATCAGTTCCATTGGAGATGGCTTCTGAGCACTCTTATATGTCTGAATGGTAAAGCCCCCTAAGGAAATATACATTTATATGAAATAAATTACAATAAACATTTCGATATATAACCGTTGCCATTACTAGAATTGCAGCAAATTTGGAGACGAAAATAATGCTAACCATTTCTGATAACCACTGTTCCAAAGTTACCAGGAATTTTCCAACTCTTTGAAGATAACTTGTCATAACACTATGGTATTTCCAGACAGACTCCATCCTTTTCACCCTGATCTCATACAATCTCAGCATCCACTAGGGCAGGGGTTCTCAACCTTGGCAACTTTAAGACTTGTGGACTTCAACTCCCAGAATTCCTCAGCCAGCAAAGCTGGCTGAGGAATTCTGGGAGTTGAAGTCCACAAGTCTTAAAGTTGCCAGGGGTGAGAACCCCTGCACTAGGGCAACCAACCTGCATTTGGAGCCCCACTACTCTCTGCAACCATCCTCAAAAAGGGAAAGTTGGGGACTGAGAGAGAATTGTCAACCTGGCAAGATCCAGAATAGACTTCAGGAGAAAGCAACACCACTTCCTCAAAATAGAGGATATAACTGCTACCGTACCTCCAGGGCACATTAGCTATCTTCCGTATCTAGACTCTCACTTCCCCAAAATACTCTCCAAAAGAGCCAAGAAGGACATGGATCTAGCACACATATGGCACAGCTCATCCCACAGATAATCCTATCATTCGGAGTCCAATCACCTCTGATTTAACCCATGCACAGTCCATGCCAGAGGTAATGATTTTATTAGCAAAATGTTTCTCCAAAATTTTAAAGTGATCCTCAGAAAAATCTTCCTGAATCCCAAAGGCGCAGGGCACCTTAAATAGAACTGCAATCAAGAGTAGAGAAGTAAAAAATGAATGACTTTATCATATCATCATCCTTATTACCATGATTTAAATTCATATACATAAGCTCTTATCCATTCAGTGAATGATAATTGCATTGAGTGCCCTCCATACTCCAGAGATCAACCAGACATTCAAAACTATTGCCTCTGAGATCGCTGAGAACATTCTGGGGTGCCTCTGGAATCTATCCAGATCATCAGACACCTGGAGCAGGTCATTTTAAGAGCACCCTTTCTGGGAGTTTCAGAAAAATGAGTAATCCCCAGAGTATGATCTGACCAGGCCCAAGACTAGCTCTCACATTCTCCAGTTTGGGACCAGATGTCCATGCACAAAAAACAAGATCTCACATATGGCTACCTATGTGTCTCAGACCTGAGATTAATTGGAACACAAAATTGCACTGTGATCATAAATTGCTAAACCCTCTCGTGAACATAAAGATCCATAACACTAGGAGCTAAGGATACTCTATCCCCAGAACTATGTTGAGCGCTAGAAAGGATCTTGCTGCAGTATATAAGCAAGATACCTTGTTCCTATAGTCTACAGCAATTTGGCATCTGCAGATAACCAGTTCTAACAGGGCCATGTATTCTATCAATCAGCACTACCCCACCTCCCCTTGGGATCCTGAAATGCAGCTCAGTAGATTTGGGAAATAGCAACACTGCTGCTCTCCCACAATCGTATCTCGGTAATAAGCTCCTGGGATTTGTACATTCTTTTTCAATAATTGAGGATTCCAGTTCTATTCTCATCCATTTACAAAAGTTTGTCAAATTGTAATATAGAAAACATCATCATCATCAGCTACCGTAGATCCTAGAAAGTAGGGAAATGGAATTCAACATTCAAGACTTGATGCTACTCATTGTAAGTTTCATGAATGCAATATCCAAGACCTGTGCTACCATTTGCAAAAAGCTGTATCCTTGTAACACGATAGAAGTTCTGCAATTCCAATTCAAAACTGCTTCGAACTGTATTTTATTTTTAAGGCTTCTAATAAACTTTCTTCTTTCTAGCCTTAATTTTTAATCTAAAATTGGACTTCTGGTCTTAATTTACCTTTACTTTATTTACCTATTCCATTTAGAAATAGCCCATCTCCCTCCCTAAAAAGAGCCACTTTTTAAGTTCTGAACCTTTGTAAAGTATATTTAATTTGTTCTTTTTATATAAAAATCATGTTTTCTCAAAATAATATATACCTGACTCAGTAGCAGATCTCTGAAGAGCTCTAGGTCCAAAAATGCTCCATTTTTCAGATACTACTTTATCGCTATCACCACTGTTGGAATCCATGGGGGCACGATCAGGACCAGCGACAGAAGCATAAGCTCCATGACTAAACCAGCTTCTTCAATGAAAAAGCAGAAATCAAAACAGGGGGACTAAATTTTGCGCATCAGATTTCCGCAAACATCTCTTTTTAACAGATACCCTCACTCCAAGTAAATTTAAAACAGAACATAAATCTAGAGCAGTGGTTCTCAACCTGTGGGTCAGGACCCCATTTGGGGTTGAACGACCATTTCACGGGGGTCGCCAAACAACGCAGTCCGCCATTTTCCCCCCCTTTTCCTTAGCTGTGCTACTCCCTTTTATTCTATTGGCTTTTGAAAGCCAATAGAATAGACTCTCTTGAATAGAGTTTAATTCTATTGGCTTTCAAAAGCCAACAGGAATTGTCTAGGCTGTCTCTGCCCTGCTGAGTCCGCCAAAAGTCCCATTCTGCAAACGGTGCTGCACCAGTTGAGTAGTCCTCGACTTACGACCGGTTGAGTAGTCCTCGACTTACGACCGGTTGGGGGTCGCGGCATTAAAAAGGTTGAGAACCACTGATCTAGAGGGATTTTATACGAAGTGTTTGATAAAATACTCAATTGTAAACACATCTGGAGAATCAAACAGATTCCTAGGTAATCAAGAGATTCAGACAATTTTTAAAAAATGTACCTGTATGAGCGCTTGGGAGAAGAATGAGGAGTGCTGCTTGGTGTGGACTGGGCAGAAGAGGTCTGCTTATCTTCTTTTACCATCTCTCCACTTTGCATCTTCAAATTCTGTTAGAAAAGCAAGAAACATCTGGAAACTTTCTATATTTAACCTAGATCCCACCAATAATACAAAATGATTCCACCTTTTTTGTCACTACAACTTTATGAAAGCTTTTGGTGGTATGTTTTAAAAAGCTTCATTCAAGTTTATATAGGTTCTTATGGAAATCAGTACACATATTTCAGAATATATCATTTTGAAGCCACATTTCTCTATTGCTATTTAACCCAACTGCAATGGGCAGCTAAGAAAAAAGACCAGTACAGGTAGTCCTCGACTTACAACTGTTCATTTAGTGATCATTCAAAGTTACAACAGCACTAAAAAAACAATTTACGACTATTTTTCACAGACCATACCAGCATCCCCATGGTCGCGTAATCAAAATTTGGCTGCTTGGCAAGTGGTTCATACTTATGGACGGTTGCAGTGTCCCGGAGTCATGTGATCACCTTTTGCGACCTTCTGACAAGCAAAGTCAATGGGGAATCTGGATTCACTTAACAACTGTGTTACTAACTTAACAAATGCAATGAATCACTTAACAACTACGGCAGGAAAAGTCGTAAAATGGGGCAATCTCATTCAACAAATGTTTCACTTAGCAACATAAATTTTGGGCTCGATTGTGGTCATAAGCTGTGGACTACCTGTAATAGAAAGTTGAAATGCCTTTCTTCAGAGAGGCTAGATTGTGATACCATGGAAACAGGTTTATAGTGTTACTTTCACTGCCAATGCATTGATACTGAATCAAGAATTCACACTACTATTTTTACATTGAGGATGTACTAATTCATCGAGAACAGACCATTTTGTTCCCACTCAGAACGTTCCCTTTCCCAAGAGATCATGCAATTCTGGAGAAGTGGTTTCTAGAAGTAAATTAT